AACATCACTTAAGTCTTATGATTCAGTAGCATCCTCTAATATAAGAAGCATTCATAGCAGTACCAATGGGGTATACTTGCATTGTTATAACTGATGATTGAGCAGAAAAACAGAATACGTGATTAAATGCTTTTACAAAAACAAAATTCCAGAGCTCATTTTAGTGTAAAAATTATAGTAAGAGACAGAGCAATCTACTCCAGATTGAACATGCTTATCTTTAGTTTGTGCACTTGAATAAATTGCTGGTGAGGCTGTAAAACCTCTTTCATTAGAGATTTTAAAGGGCAGGTTAGACAAACACCTGTCAGGGATGGTCTAAATCAGTGGTTCCCAACTTTTGGTATCAAGCCCCCTTTCTGATTTTTGAGAAACCCTCACGCCCCCCCCACCGCAAAAATATCAGCAAAACTTGGGAAAAAAAAGCCCTTTTAAGAGCACAGCAGGCATTGCCCTTTTAAGGTGGCCATTTTGAAGTCTGCCCCAGCCAACCCAAGCTGCATATGTTCTGGCGGATGGATGGACGGACCAGGCTCTTTCTTGTGGGGGGAGCTGACCGGGGGGGAGAGCGGGTCACCTCGCCGCCCCCCCTAGAATTTCTGCACGCCCCCCAGTTTGGGAACCCATGGTCTAGATCATGCTTAGTTCTGTCTCGAGCACAGGGGACTGAACTAGAAATTCTCAAGATCCCTTCTAGTCCTACATCACTATGAAATGCCACACATTTCAGAAGTGGCGTTCTTTGAGTTTGAAAGAAATACTTTTTACACTTACCACTCCTACCTCTGGTATCCTTTTTGTGTGTTACAACCTTAAATATTTTACACATAGTGTTACTGAGAACTAGGGGTGTCAACATGTAGACAACTACACAATTAACTGATAAACCTGGGCTTATCAATTAATCCTGTTGACTACATGCATTTTCTCCCCTTCCTCCACTGCCATTGTATCAGGGGTGGGAGGCAGGAGCCAGTGCCCGTGGAGATCCATCAATGGCTATTAGCCAGGATGGTCAGAGATTCAACCCATGCTTTTGGAGCTCCCAAACCTCTGGCTTCTAAGCCCTAAGACTGGAAGACTGGATGGATCACTCAATAAATTGCACTTCATTCCCTCTGAAGTGTCTAGTATCAAACATTGTTGGACGATAGGATACTGGGCCAGATGGACCATTGATCTGATCCAATATGGCCATTTGGAGCTGTTGCATCTGAACAGTATGACTTTGTGGATGCGTTCATAACTTTGTTTTGGATTGAAAGAGCAAAGCCAGCTCTATTCAAATATGATTTATTTAATGCCAAATCAAAATTTTAAAGTAATCTATTATAGCTGCCATTTGATTCTCCTGAAAAATAAGTCCCCCTGGAAGCTCTTTTAAAAAGATTAATTGATTTAAAAGCATAAAAGACAACAATCCAAAAATTCTAGATGCTCTGCCATTACACAAAGCACACACAGAGATTTTCATTCCTTAACAAAACCCAGCAACAATCAAACCATAAATAACATAGTATCTCATCCATCTTTGCAAAATAAGAGCATCTCTCAACCTTTACCAAATGCCTAAAAAACTCAAATGGATCTTGTGGCATGACAGGAAGTGGAAAAATGTGTCATATCAGACAATAGGGCTTCAATGCTCTACCAGCAACTCCCTTTCTTTCATAGCTAAGGAGCATCAACTCAAATGCTCTCGCTGTTGCAGTACTGTACTGGAAGCAAGATGTTTCAAATCAACAGCTCCTAGGCAGAGAAGACAAAGCCTCTATGGGCTCCTCGGTGGGGGCGAAAGGGGGCTTCGCGCTCCAAGAAGGGGCAGGGCCAAGGACAGAAAAGGCGGGGTTGAGGGCAGATGCTGCCCAAAGCATGGTGCCCCCCCAGCCCTTGGTGCTGCATGGAGCCCGGCACTCCCATCAGCAAGGGTCCAGGGCTCCAGTCACTGCCACTGTGGCAGCAGCCGGAGCCCCGGGCGCTCCAAGAAGGGGCAGGTGCCTAAAAAACTCAAATGAGGTTGAGGGCAGATGCTGCCCAAAGCATGGTGCCCCCCCAGCCCTTGGTGCTGCATGGAGCCCGGCACTCCCATCAGCAAGGGTCCGGGGCTCCAGTCACTGCCACTGTGGCAGCAGCTGGAGCCCTGGGCCCGTCTGAATAACTGGGACTCAGCACAATTGCCCTCTTCCCTCCCCACTGGCAAACCTGATCCCAGGCAATTTAGAATTTTACTTGTTAAATCCAATATTTTAAATTCACCTGGAAATTAACCACCAAATAGACTCAATCCCAAAGTACAGTAGTGGGGCTCCAGTCACTGCCACTGTGGCAGCAGCTGGAGCCCTGGGCCCGTCTGAATAACTGGGACTCAGCACAATTGCCCTCTTCCCTCCCCACTGGCAAACCTGATCCCAGGCAATTTAGAATTTTACTTGTTAAATCCAATATTTTAAATTCACCTGGAAATTAACCACCAAATAGACTCAATCCCAAAGTACAGTAGTTGTGTTCCCAGCAAGACACTCTTCATTCTGCATGAGCCTCAGCTCCAAAGCACACTTAATATGTAATCCCATACAGTGTGCACAGTAATAAAAAGGCTAATCACAAAATGACTAAAGCGCAAATTACAGTAGTAATTTGAAAGAAAAGTTGGTAGGTAGCTCCGTGATCAAATGTAGATGAAAAACAATCAACCCTACTGCTTGGACATCTCTATACAGCTATTGGTCCAATCAGACCTATAAGTTATGAACTCTAGTTGCAAATGGCAGGAACACTCTCTCAATCATAGGGACACATACAAATCTCTAACATAGATTTAGTTGCTTAACTCAGCTCACCATCACTACCTCAGTTTTATCTGATCTGAATCTCAGCCAGCTTGCTCTCATCTGTGCCTTAATCTTCACCAAATACTAGGTCAGGTGTTCAATCACTAATGCTAGATTAGCAGAGATGGAGATAAAACTGGGTGTTATCAAGATAAATGTCTTCACTGGCCACTTGCAACTGCTTATAAGCCTTTGAAAAAACTCAGCTGCCAACTTAACAAGTTTTTCCTAAATTCTTCAAAGATTCCATCCATACTGAAAGTACTTCAGCCAAGAACCAAATGGGTAAGAAGCCTTTCTGTGAAATTTCTACTCTTGGCTGCAATGGGCCTCTGGGGGGCCAGGTACCAGAATGGAAAGCAGGAAAACTGTTTCTTTTTCATCTCATGCTATTCAAACCCTACTCTGAATCTACTTTGGAGGGAGAGATAGCTAAGTGGTTTGAGCCTTGGCCTGCTAAACCCAGGGTTGTAAGTTCAATTGTTGAGGGGGCCATTTAGGGATCTGGGGCATATCTGTCAGGGATGGTACTTGTTGATCGTGCCATGAGGGCAGGGGACTGGACTCAATGACACCTCAAGGTCTCTTCCAGCTCTATGAGATAAGTATATCTCCAAAATCTTAAAAAAAAAAAAAAATCTACAGCAGGGGTAGGCAATAGTTTTTAATGTGGAGGCTACTCCAAGATTTGGTAAATGGTCAAGGGCTGCACTTCTACAGAGGTAGTGTAGGGTCTGGGACTGAGAGATAGAGGACTGGGGTGCGAAAAAGGGCGTGGGGTCTGGCTGGATGCAAAAGGGAGATTGAGGACTGGGGTGCAAAAAAGGGCGTGAGGTCTGAGAGGGAGTTTGCATGAAGGGAGCAGGTTGTAATCTGGGGCAGGGATTTGAGGTGCAGGGTCTGGGACAGGGTCTGGATGCAGGAGAAGATTCTGGCCTGGGGAAGGATATGAGAGGGGGATGCATGATCTGGGAGGGAATTGTGACCTGGAGGAGGTGGGAAGAGGAGTTACAAAGGGTTTGGGTGGTGACTTGGAGCAGAAGGTGGTGGCCTGGGGCAGAAAGTTTGCAGGAGAGACGGGGTGGGGTGTCAGAGCTTCTTCCTGGGAGGCACTTACCAAGGTGGCACCCAGCCAGCAACCCTGCAGCAATCTGAAACACACTCTCTGCCTATCTGCTGCAGCCCCAAGCTGCTCCATGTGGCGCTGCTCTGACCGGGCCGAGGGGGGGGGAGAGTCTTCACATACTGCTCCCGCTTCTAGCAAAATTTCTCAGCTCCTGTTGGCCAGAAACTGTCCAATGGGAGCAAAGGGATTTTGCTAGGTGGCAGTACACAAAGCTACCCCCTTTTTCCCCGGCATCCAGAGCAGAGAGCAGCCAGCTGTTTAAAGTCTCGACAAGGTGGCCCCTGAGCTAGATCTGGCAGATTGGTGGGCCAGATCCAGCCCACTGGCCTCATTTTGCCCATCCCTGAGCTATAGCCACTGTGAAGCCTAGAATATCTGTTGAGTCACTGTGAAGTCATGGAAGCAGCTACCAGCATGGTTGAAAGCTTTCTGTTGAGAATGTCATCAGGTTCTGTCTATGGGATCTAATGGCCTTTATTGTCCAATATTCTTGACTATTTTTAGCTTTTTTACATAAGACTTTATGAATTTCTCCTGTACAACAGCATGGGCTTTCTGCCACTAGTATAAAATCAATTTTCTCATAGGCTTAGTATGTGATATGTAAATAAAGATTGCTTCATAATACATACTCACAAAGGGTCTTAAGCTTGATTGCAAGAAGCCTTAATTCTGGCATTTCTTAATTTTCAAGTGTTTGATTTTCCACTCATTATGTTCTTTTATATAGTCCGTGTGCATGCAATATATAGGTTGCAAACACAAGACTGACGAAATTAAGCTTTTCCACAGCAAATTTGTTTTCTGAAATTCCAACATTCTTCAACTTGTGTGTGACCGTTTCCATGTTAATGAATAATCAGAATAGGAACCAAGTATTTCCAACAACAGCATTATGATTTTGAAAGTTATCAATTAAAAAAAGATGACAACAAAGCTTCAAAATAGATAATCTAAGCTTTACTCAAACGAATACAGGCATAGAATTAGCTCTGAACTATGAAAAGTACTTTCAAAATATTTCTGGTTGCTAAATCACTTACCATATGTACTACTTCAGGATAAATGGGCTCTGTGATCACATTACGATTATGTGTAATGTATTCTACCATTTCACTTAAAGCAGCTCGCTTTACTTCCTTCCACTTTAGGTCACTCAGTGGATCCGAAACAAAGTCAAAAAGGACACAACATTGTCGCAACTTCTGAATAAAAAGCTTTTCTTGATCAGCAGGAGGAACATCTGAAAAGTGAAAATATTTGGTTATGAACATATCCACAAACTATGTTACTATAAGGACTTTGCACTCCTCCCACCTTCTCTTTTCTTAGATACTGTAAAAGAGTGTCAAAGAATTCCAGCAGGCATTTTAAATCTTAAACATCACTTAAGTCTTATGATTCAGTAGCATCCTCTAATATAAGAAGCATTCATAGCAGTACCAATGGGGTATACTTGCATTGTTATAACTGATGATTGAGCAGAAAAACAGAATACGTGATTAAGTGCTTTTACAAAAACAAAATTCCAGAGCTCATTTTAGTGTAAAAATTATAGTAAGAGACAGAGCAATCTACTCCAGATTGAACATGCTTATCTTTAGTTTGTGCACTTGAATAAATTGCTGGTGAGGCTGTAAAACCTCTTTCATTAGAGATTTTAAAGGGCAGGTTAGACAAACACCTGTCAGGGATGGTCTAAATCAGTGGTTCCCAACTTTTGGTATCAAGCCCCCTTTCTGATTTTTGAGAAACCCTCACGCCCCCCCCACCGCAAAAATATCAGCAAAACTTGGGAAAAAAAAGCCCTTTTAAGAGCACAGCAGGCATTGCCCTTTTAAGGTGGCCATTTTGAAGTCTGCCCCAGCCAACCCAAGCTGCATATGTTCTGGCGGATGGATGGACGGACCAGGCTCTTCCTTGTGGGGGGAACTGACCGGGTCACCTCGCCGCCCCCCCTAGAATTTCTGCACGCCCCCCAGTTTGGGAACCCATGGTCTAGATCATGCTTAGTTCTGTCTCGAGCACAGGGGACTGAACTAGAAATTCTCAAGATCCCTTCTAGTCCTACATCACTATGAAATGCCACACATTTCAGAAGTGGCGTTCTTTGAGTTTGAAAGAAATACTTTTTACACTTACCACTCCTACCTCTGGTATCCTTTTTGTGTGTTACAACCTTAAATATTTTACACATTCATATTTAAATAAAAACTCTTAGAAAATTCATGCATCACTAATAGAAGGAAGAATTTACCTTATGCAGGACATAAAACTTTAGAGAGCATAGCCTGAAATTGCGTAACTCAGGATTTTTATTGAGTGGACCGAAGGAAAAAAAAGTACATAGTTTGAATATTTAGGAACTTTGCTTTGTATATGTAGACACACACATAGTTTGACAAAATCCTGACCCCTGACTAGGTAATACAAATAATAATCTCTTTATTTCCACTTTCTGAGATCTACACCACTTGCCTTGATATATCCTCCAAAATATCCATCAATGAAATCAATACTGAAAATGATATTTTTAAGAATTAGTGTTCAAATTTAATAAATAACACTGTTCATATAGTTTGTGTATTTTCCTCCTTCGACTGACACCACCTTCCAATATATAGAATTCCCATAAATCAAGAAAACTCAAATGCTTTGGCCCTTCGACTGACACCACCTTCCTTCCAATATACAGAATTCCCATAAATCAAGAAAACTCAAATGCTTTGGTCAGTTTATACTCCTTCGTTAGGGTTTGCAGTTTGAAACCAATGGGATTAGTGCTCCTAAATAAATTTGGTGCTTTTAAAAATCCCATTCTAAGGTTCCTAAATATGAATTTATGAACTTATATTTAGGCTCCAATTTTTGAAAATATTAGCCTTTGAGTATAAAAACAATACATGTTAACTACACTAAAGTACTGAAAGTATAAACTTTTTATGGTGAACACTAAAGCTCTTTTGTTTTGAAGAGAAAAATTTCATACTCTTAATTTTGGAACAAATATATAATTTTAGCACCCTGATGCAAACAAACACTTATTTTGCACGTGCTTGGTTTTAAGTATGAATAATCTCCCTGAACTCACTGGTACAATTCCTGCTTAAGCACTTAGAGGGACATCGTTTTAACTTTCAATATACATAACTCCAATAGCAGTATTGTAAAATTCAAATAAAACATCCCACCAGTAGTAGCATTTTAAAGTATGATGCTTATAATTTAGTACATTCTAGAATTTTAATCTAAAGTTGCAACAGTGCAAATTTGTTAATTAGGTTTATAAATCTTCAACTTGATTTAAATTAGATTTTTTTTAAAAAAGATTACCGGTAAGTGATTTAAATTGCTCCATTCTTTTCAACACATCATATACATAGTAGCCCAGTGTCTGTGCGTCTAACGCTGACGTACGCAGTCACGCCCTCTGGCTGTGTACGTCAGCACCCCACCCCCCTTCCCCTAGCTCCATGGCAGTTCGGGCCGCACAGCCCCCCAGACACCACCCCCCGCCAGCGCTGCTTCCCTCCTCTCGTCTTCCCGCACCCCCC